ACACACACACACACACACACACACACACACACACACACACACACACACAAAATAAATAGGAAGTTAAATACAGTAAAATGTTGTTTATCACAGTTCATAAAGTAAGTTAAATTTTGTCTTGGGTAAAAATAGAAAAATTCAGTATTTTTTAAAGCCCTCCAAAATGTTCTCTATAGACAAGCATCACACTGTGGTCTCCCGGGGGAGCAAGTGTTACACTCTGCACATGGGTCACAGAGGATCACAAGGTGGGAGGATGAGACAAGATGGCTCCTTGCGCCAAGGTCACCAAAGTCTGTTCAGTCAAGGAAGCCACACCTCAGCAGCAGCATCAGCTAGGACAGGGACAGGGACAGGGGTGTTGGGGCATTTGTGGTTCTCTGAAGGAGTAGTACCTACTCTTAACCACTGAGCTGTCTCTCCAATCCCATGGTTGAGTTATGTTTTCAAACAAAACAGAATGGTTAAAATTAAACCAATTCCAATATTTACACCAAGAAAGAAGAATTGGGCTGGACATCATTCATGTATGCAATCCCAGCACTCGGGAGGCTGAGACAGGAGGATTGCTGGGAGTCTGAGGCCGGCCAGGGCTGCATAGTTCCAGGCCATGCTGGGGTACAGAGTGAGACCTTGTCTCAAACCTCCTCAAGGGAGGATTTATACAGGTGTGTGCCAGAGGAAATGATTCGGGATTGGTAGAAGGGTCAGGCTTCAGGTTAGAGATGAGAGTTAAGCTGGGAAACTAGAGCAGCAGAGAAAAGCGTGTGTGGGGGGCGCAGGGCAAGGAGGGGTGAGCAGGGAGGAATACTGACTGACGGGACTCCAAAGTCCTTGAACTGCACTGGCGCTCAGTCCACGATGAGAGGTGGTGGACATTTGGAGAAGAAATTATGTCTCCCAGAAATGGAGGAGTGGTAGAAATAATGCTAACCAGTGAAACTGTCATCAGGAAGGGCTGGGCGTGGAGATTAGTGGTGTCAACAGGAACACACAGGAGGATGTCCACACACCTTTTTGGTCCCCAAGGGTGTTTTTCAAACTTGTGCTGGCAAGTACCAAAATAGCAAATATAGAAAAGTGGGAGCATGACGCCCTTCCTTTTGGAGGCAGCACCCAAAGAAAGCAACCCTTCTTTTAGAGTCCAAGTTAGGTTCCTCCTTTCGGGTGAGACACTGGAGTGAGATCTTACTGGAAGTCCCCTCCTTTCTCAGATAATTCCTCTCCACCAATGGGGATGAAAGGTGGGGCAGCATCAGCTGTCTCCAGCAGACACATGTGAATCTTGAGAGAAACTGGAGTAAGACAGTTGGTGAAAACATTTTGTAAATGTTGGTTTTGTGTAATGTTCCATGTTGGGGATTGAATTTGGAGCCTCACACATGCTGGACAAGCACTCTACCCGTGAGCCCTGCTCCCAGGCCACACATTGATGTTCATCTATTTTTTAAGGCTGATAATTTCCTTCAATGGAAGAATTGGGACATGACTTTGTGGTGCTATGAAGTAGATCATCCTTCTGAGCAAAAGCGCTGTGTGAAACTGTGGCTGCCAGTTTCTTTCCTGTACAGCCAGTGGCTGAGGCGGCTCATTTGTCTGCAGCAAAGATACCGTTACAGTAGCCTGATGATTGGTCAGCTTTAAAGACCCCAGGAGGAGGTAGAGTAGGGGTGGCTGATGTGACCAAGGTAGAGACAGGTCTAATACCCCAGGCTAGTGGGTAGAAACAGGATGTAGCTGCAGATTGCCAAGAATACCTCACTTTTCACTTCCAGTTGGACTTGGGTGGATGTCAAGTGTAGAATCAGGGGGGTTGGTTGTCAGCTGTGGCTGGAAAACCCCTACGCAGCAATGAGGGGTCAGAGATGGTGGTGGTGCTGGTATCTCATTACAGCTAGGAAGTTAAAATCTCTGGGGACAATTGAAAGGGGAGAAACAGAGGTTGAGAGAGGCTCATCTCACCAGCAGGAAGTGCAGGAGATGAAGTCTGCAGGTTCCACGAGGCAATCACCTCATTCACTTTGTGTAACAACCCTGCCAGTGGGACTTCACACTGAGAAGTCCATAGGACTAGGGGAAGTTCATCCTGACATCCAAAAGAAAAGTATAAGACTGGTATGGTGGCTCACACAGGCTGAATACAGGAGGATTGCCATGAGTTCCAGGACAGCCTGGGCTATAGAATTAGACCATATCTCAGGAGGGAAAGAACAACAAAGAAGGAAAGAGAAGATATTTATAACAGTTTTCTTTTGAGGGTATAAATTTATTTTTAATGCACTGGTGCTGCAACTGTGCAAACATTCTTCAGGGCAATGACATCGCAGGTGTGACTGGGGTCAGCAAATCTCGTTTCCTGGGACTCCAGAGCCAGTGTAAACTCACTGTGCTGACGTGCATCGAGAACTACAGTAGGTTTGTTTAAAAACCAAGAGCACAGAGTTGGGGTACTATGAGTTTGTAAAAGCTGGCAAAGTTGTTTTACTATGTATGAGTCCATGAGAACAGTGAAGACTTTTACATTGTAACTCTGTGTGCTTGAGAGAAAGTTAGTTGGTAGACTGCTTTCCTAGAATGCATGAAGCCCTGGGTTCGATTCCCTAGCATTATGTGAATCAAGATTGGTAGCACACACCTGTAAGCCCAGCACTGGGGAGTGGAGGGCAGGAGAATCAGAAGTTCAAGGTTGACTGCTGTGGGATCTCTTTCTGTACGCTGTGAATATGTGTTGCTATGATTGGTTAATAAAGAAGCTGCTCTGGTCTATGGCAAGTCAGGTTATAGCTAGATGGGAAATCCAAGAGAGAGACAGGAAGAAGAGAGGCAGAGGTGGGGGAGGTGCCAGACCGTCACCCAAGAAGCAACATGCCAGCAGACTGGTAACACCACAACCATGTGACAAAACATAGATTAATAGAATGGGTTAATTTAAGATGACAGAGCTAGCTAGCAAGAAACTTAAGCCATAGGTCACACAGTTTGTAATTA